CTTACAATCTTCGCACTCCATATATAGACTAACATATTTGCGCTGTTGCCCCCAACCACACTTGGAGTGGGTTGTTTCCGTAGGTGGATTTTTGACACGGGTCTTGCCCGTGTTGAGATTGCGCTGGAACCCCCATTCCCTATACTACTGGTTACGACCAGTTTAGTACATATTTGTATCGATTCAGTGAACCTGTGGCTAAAGCAACAGCAGAGACTTGATAAGGAAGCCAACCAATGTTGCCTTGCTATCTTCGAGTTATTCTCGTTCATGGTTAGTGTTGTTTCTTTATTTTATCTTCCAATTGATCCCATAGCTGTAAGTAGGCATCGATAATCTGACATTTGGTTGTGATAAAAATAGAGCGAACCGGGTATCCCCACCCATCTAGACGATCAAAAATTGCCATCCATGCAATACAGAGCTCACACATACACAGTGAAACAGTACTAAATTTGTAGTAAATATTTCAAAACAGGGCAAGTTCTATTGTTCCATCAGTGGCATTTATTACAGAGTGTTCACACAAAGTACTGTTTCACAGATATAGCTAGTGTTTGCACTCTAACATTCATAAGCCATTATCATCAAGCATTTTCCCCCCGCAATACTATTACTAAAATACAGGTTCCTATAAGTATAATCTACGCCCACAAGTTTACTAGTGATAATTATTACTCAGCAAGAGGCACAAGGAATATCAATCCCCATTTTCTATTTTTTTCTTTTACCTTTATTTTGAGCAATATAAAATACTATATTTAAGATTTCACGTACTTACAATGACAGTATAAAACTCGGTTCAATTTTAAATATCGACCAAGATGATAACGATGATGATGATGATGATGATGATAACAATGATGATGGTGATGATGATGATGATGGTGATGGTGGTGGTGATGGTGATGGTGATGGTGATGGTGATGGTGGTGGTGATGGTGATGGTGATGGTGATGGTGATGATGATGATGATGATGATTGATGATTGGTGATGATGATGTTGATGATGTTGATGATGTTGATGATGTTGATGATGATGATAATGATGATAATAATAGTTTATTTATCCACATAACGCCTTTCACATACTCGTTTAAAATACGCACGTGCACTAGTCGGCTTAAGAAATGTATAAAACTAATATCAAATATCAAAGAAGATGAAGCCACTATAAACTATATTGAATGTCTGTTGTCTTTCTTCGTCCTACGGATAGTTTTGGTTCATTGGTTCACTCTTGGGGAGCGAGAGTTTGTTCATAAAGGAGCAGTTCCAAGTCATCAGTGTAATACCACAACTTCTATACCTTCAATCCAAGCTGAATTGAAATCAGATCACTTTCGAAAGCTAGGACGAGTGAAGAACATGAAAAATTGTATCGACCACTGCTGTGATATTAAATCGTGTGACCTAGCTATGATGTCTTATGCAAGTAAACAATGTTACGCAGTTGCGTGTTTCGATGAAAACCTGTGCAAAATGTTGCCATCTTATCCTACGAGAATTAGCTTTGATGTGGCTCATGTTACGAGAAGAAGATCATGGCAAGGCGTCTGATTTTGCGCATTGGAATGGACATTTGCTTGCAAAACAGTTTTTTCCTTTTTGTCATTCAATTCTACCAGAATTAGCTTTAACTTGACTCGTTACAGGACGAAGATCATGGCAAGGCTAACGTGTGCAGCGAATTAGGCCGATGCTGTATAGAGAATAGACATTTGCTTGCAAAATTAGCATTGCTTTTTAATTGTATATTTTTTCCATATAGGTATTTATTTTATACATGTTTAAAACTTGTTATGAAATTGCAAGCAACCGACTGAGAGCAGTCGTAGCGATATTTCTACATAAAAATGAAATAAAAATAATAAAAAAATCATGTAAATGCATTTGTCAGTCCGTGCTGGGCTCACTATGGCAGCAACAGCGAAGGAAAGGTAAAGGAAGTAATCAACTGATTTTTCGAGCTGCAGTTCTTCATTTAAAAACTGCAATCGTTACATCAGTGCCGGCCTTTCTTTCATGCTTTATTGAGATTGGGACTAAGAATTGCAATCCAAATAAACCTGATTTGAGACGAGATGCCCATTACGTACCAGTGCACCACCTCGGAAAGTGTAAAATTACTAGATTGTATATTATGAAATTATGTTATAAAGATTTGTCTTCTTCAACATGCAGTGGCTCAGAGTTTAGTGTTACAATGCTATAAGAAAAAAAGCACACTATTAAAGCATTTGCTAGAATCACCATCAAAACAAGTCCAACACTCCCCCCAAAAGACCACTCACATATGGCATCATTTTTTCTCAATTCTGTCATATCTAGGATAACTGCATTAATTTGATTATTTGTTGCTATGAACACAAMTATGTGAAACCACTGGTGACTGTGACCAACCACGTCGAAGTACTCCGTAATATATTTTTCTGGGATTTTCGTCGTCATTGTTGCGGCCATAAGGGTACACCAGAAAAACTGGGAGTAGTGAAACGAAAGGGAATGAGAATAAAACGATATTAAAATGCCATAGACAACAAACGAGCTGGTGAATATATAAGGGACAGCAAATGAGAGAGCCCTCATAGTTGATTGGATCGACTGCCATTTTTTGTCCCTGGATACGCAGCATACATAGCAACAGAAGATTGCCATGGTAACGTTGATAGGTCGGTAAAGCATCCCTAGGAATGATCCTCTGACATGGTCGGGAATGCTGTAGGCGAAATATGCTACGGATGATCCTATGCTGTAGACACTGATCCCCGCGTAGTCACAGAAGAAGCATATATGACGAACACGGACGGTCATACTACTGAACGTGTGGGCTATACAGCTAAGAGAAGGATACATGCACGCACCAATAGTGATGGCACATAACGGCCAATACCGACTGTCAAACAAGAAATCCACTTCCAAAGTACTGAATTTCCAAATAAAGAAAAATAAGGTGAAGCAGTGAGTCCAGACATTAAGCGTCTCGTTGTTCCACTGGAAAAGACTTTGAATACATTCCAGGAAGGACATTCCTGGTCGACGGTACCCTGTTCTGATGTAGTCATCGTGGTAGTCAGACGGAACCTAAGAAAGAGAGAAAAATATGATTGAATAGAATACGATTAATCTGTGGGAACCAATAATTGTTTTTCTAAAATATATTTCGCGTTTTGATTGATTGGGAGCGCATGCTTTATGAGTAAACACACCACTCGCGCGCACTTTCAGTTGCGTCATTCCTATGTAAAATAACCGTTATTGTAATTTGTATTTTATAAAAGAAATAAAAAACTTGCTTGCTGTACTGTGTGGAGTCATAAAGCACTTGGAGATTGGCAGATCACTCGAGAAGTGTCGAGAAGCACTTCATTCGCAAGTGCTATATAACTCCACACAGCACGCACGCGCGTTTTCTATTTCTTCAATTGTATTGGGCGTAATACTGAGCCTCTTTTCTGGATCACGTGATATTACCTCAAAATGTTCAAAACTTTAAAAGTGGATTCTATGCAAGGATTACCTCAGAAATTTTGAAGGTGATCTGTTTTGAAAAGCTTTTCATTCGACTACCATATCGAAACAATCCACTGAAGCTCTGAAAAGCCTTCGAGATAAAAAGACCATATGCATCTTCATGAAAATTCATTTTATTCAGCAACGAATCATCTAACCCAACGCTGAATAAAAGGCCGGCTTAGGTTGTGTGGATCGTTCTGCGCCTGAAAGAGGAATTCCAGAAATATATATGTAAAACTCGCTGGGKTTTTTTTTCCTGCCAATCAAAATTATAGAAAAACGCCAGGGTTGCGGCGCGGCAAGGCACACACACGGTAACGAGCTTTTCACAGTCGTACGAAATTATTGCTCTAATACGATGGCTGCGCACGAGAATTCAAGTACTTACTCCAGCACGCGTTCATAGAGCGTATGCAAGTGCGTAAAACTAATTAATGCTTAGATGTCCCAGAGGTAATTGGGGGTGGGGGTGAAAGGCACTCGTTTTTTTTGTGAATACAACATTCACCTACCCAGACCCATTTCAGCGAAAAATTGATTTTTCGTTAGGAAGCTGAGGAGGGTGAAAGTGACAGCTTGACTGCGATTTTTATAAAGCATGAGCTTTAGGCTATAAAAATTAAACATAACTTAATTAATTCCATTTTTAGAGTGCTTAATGACGTGAGATTTTCTTGTTCACGTCATTTATTTAATTGATTAACGAGATTTTCCTTCTTTCGCTCACGTTAGTAAAAGCAATGAGCATTAAAAACAATCAACATTTAAAGAAGAAAAATCTTGTAAATAGAAAAGAATCAGTAGCGACAAAGCTAGTAAAGCATATCCTTTCTCGACAGCATCATGCTGATTTGAATGATTTGAATGTTTTATTTGATCGCTTTTCCCCTTCATTTGCTATGCCATTTTAAGAGTCTTTGTTTCTGGAAGCTTCTAAAGGCCGGCCTGGCAACAAATCAAGGCTCAGATTTTTTTTACATTCTTTCGTTCGGTATCACTTGTTTTCTATTTATTGAAGAAATAATAATTTACTAATATAAATTAATATTAGTAAAGATCCTATTTTACTCTTGAAGCGAATGAGCACGATTGCTGAAGAGTGAATTGTGTGATAAATTGTCGAAAATGCTGACCTATCACGACATGGATGCAGAAAAATATATGCGTTACCCGTGGCTCTCCGTGTTTTAAAATTTAGAGGACGAAGCGAAAAAATATTTACATCATTATATTTCAGTCTTTTATTCGGTAAAAAAATTAAAGAAAATGGTACTTCTTTGTGAAATAATGATGTATAATGATGAGTAGTGGATTTATATATTTAGGAGTATTTTTTATAATGTTAAGAACGTTAAGTATCTTGTTTTTCCCTCGATATACTCAAGATCTTGTTTTACATTTACAAAATAATTATCGCTCGAAATTTATATATTTTTAAGATTGAGATTTTTGGTTTGTATATGTGGATAAAACTGAGATGTTAGAACCTTACAAATCAGCAAAATTAATAGAAATATAGTTTTAATGTTATTCTAAAGAGTCGTCATCTTAAAACCGGCGAACTGATCTTGACAGTGACCGGCGGAGAGCATCGAAGAGGCATGTTTACGGGTAATATAATGAGCCAATGAACCTGTGCATAAATACTCTACACTTTCCCGCGCAAATAATCCCCCTTTCTTTTAACGTCAAAGGCATTAATTGAATTCAACCTTACCTTAGAAATACAGTATTACTTAAAGCTTTCCTTTGTCGTTTAAGATGATATATACGCCGGCAGAGGAGACAACAGATCTCTTCATACAATTTGGTGTTTAAATTCCATGGTTTTGACAGCGATGCATAATTTATTTAGCGTCTATAAGTACCTGTGACAGCTGACTTCACCCAAGATGAATCTTATTTTGATTATCAGGATCAATCAAAGTCATAGAAAATACTGGTATTATCATAGTAAGTGTCTTCCTTAAAGGACTAATAATACAGCAAAATCCAACTACCCTGAAAATACAGATAGCTGGGCGGAAGGGAGATAATAAAGCTATTGGCAGTGGGACTAAACATCATTATATATCTCCAAACTATCACTTTTCCAAGCATATTGTAATTGGCCAATCTTTCCATTTTGATCTTTTCATTGCCTAGTCTTGCAAAATAATAAGAATCGTTTTTACTTTTTCTTGACAGGATTTGTTGTCTATTTTTTTTATTAGGTGAGGTTGAATTATTGAGAACAGTTTTCGCTTTATTTTGGCAGTTTTTGTGAGCAGTTGGAACCGGAAATACGTCACAACTCAACCATCTATAGCGGGCTCCCTGTGTCGAGCCCTGTGATTGGCCAGACATACCAAAGGCGCCATTTTGATTTTTCATTGTCGTGTTTCCATCAAAACAACAACAACAAAACAAGACTTCAATACTTTTATACGAGATGTAAGTACTCCATTAATAGCCTGCTTTATCTTAAGAGGTATAATATCTTACCCTACATTATATCTTCATACTTCCTGCAATAATTTTAGGTTTCTGTCTTCAGAAAAAAACGTGAAACACGAGCTCAAAGTTTGAAGTTTTACTCACCTTCCTTCGTCGGTGTCGACAAAAACTTCTTAAAAAATACTTCCTAAATGATAAGACTTATTTGATAGAGAGGATTTTGGTTATTTGGGAATTTAGAAACAGTTCAAATTATCCAAAATTCTAGTGCTTCAAAATTAATATTTGTTTTCCAAAGAAAGAAAGACGAAAGGAAGGAAGAAAGATTGATTCTTTATTTGAATTTTTTCCATATTCATGTGTCTTTCCATGTTCAACTGTTAACCAAAGTAATGATACTCTAGGGAATGACATGTAGCCTAAAGAGGCCTGTTTAATCAATTAATGTTTTCTTTTGTTTGTTAGGGAAGGAAAAGTTAGTGATAATGAATAAAGCCTCAAAAGGATTAAATGAGAATGAGACTGAGGCATCSACAGTTCAAGAGAGTGAAAAAACACAGCCTGCTGGAAAATCACTTAAAAGTGTAAGTTTGTTTCCCCAACTTTAAAATATAGCATAAACATGGCTAGTCTTCAATGCAAATTGATATCTTTTTAGACGGTTGATAGAGTACGGCTTAGACTCAAGGTAGCAAGTGTTCTTGGTGGAGCATTACAAAAGGAAGAGGATGACAAGGATATTGCCAGGTACTGACAAAATCACTTTGGAAAGGCATTTCATTGTAAATAAGATTCGATATTGAAAGTATTTTAATATCTTTTCTATTGCTACTACAACGACTAAATCCACCCCAACCTACCCAAGCCCAAGCCAATATATATTTATTTATTATTATTTATTCGCTATACGGGTATGTGCCGCCAAACAGGGTATGGTTTTCAGCGATTCTACTCTGAAAATGGGGTATATAAAATCGCGCTCATTCTGGGACAGGGTATATGAAATCACTCTCTCTCCTCTCTGGAACAGGGTATCTATTTTCGCACTACCGGAAAAGGTTATGGTTTTCAGTGATCTTGCTCTGGAACAGGGTATGAATTTCAGTGATTTTACTCTGGAACAGGGTCAGGGTTCAGAGGGCTCAGCGGCACATCCCTACCCTAAACGGGCAAGAGTACCCCTGGGCCCCACAGCCACCACCACCACTACCACTTACTACTACAGCTGCTACTAATAACATATATATATATATATTATATATAAGATTATGATTTATATGATTTATATAGTGATAGTGATAGTAATAGTGATGATGATGATGATGATACTGATACTGATGATGATAATGGTGGTGATGATGATGTTGAATTTTATGATGATGATACTTATACTGATGATGATGATAATGATGATACTGATGATGATGGTGAAAATGATAATGTTGATGATGATGATAAACATA